TCTACCAGCGTTGTTCTGAGCAGCAGCTCCTATGTTGAGCTAGTCTGAAGGAGCTGAGTAGGGGAGGAGCTGCGATTTAAAGGCGGGGCTAGGTCCTCCCAGGCGTTTTGAACAGCTGAATGGTTGCCATGGAGATTATGGATTTCTCAAACATGAATTTTTTTTTTCTGAAGCACCTTGAGACTACATTTGTTGTGAATCGGTGGTAGGTAAATAAACTCGATTAAATTTAGTAGACGTGATCCTAATCACCATGACAACAGAAAGAAATTACGATCGCTTTCTGTTGTATCCAAGCAGATTTTGATTTAAAAATCATAGTTTTGTCCTAATTTATTTTTGAATCGTAGTCAGCAGTGGGGGCCGTAAGATATCAGTCCTGGGTTGTAAATGGCCCTGCGCCCCACTTTGAATATGTGTCAGAACAGCCTAGTCAAAGTCCATATGTAAAGCTAATTGAGAATCTTTGAGAACTAAGAGTTGCTCTGCAGTCATTTTGACCGGACTGAAGCGTTTTTACAGTGACTACCTGGAGTCGCCCCCTGCAGGCGCTCAGCTGCAGCTGCAGGTCTGGTTATGAGTGAATGCACCACAGGATGCCATAAAGCTGAAGTGAATATTTTTCAGGGTTTTGCTTATGGAGCTCATAACTGTTGGGTTTATCCCTCCATCCCAGCGTCGGAGAAGCGCGGTTGGGCCTTCAGGTCTCCATGGCAACCCGCCGCGGCGCAGCCGGCCTGTTGCAGGCAGCTGAGAGTGCAGTACTCGTTGCAGTACCAGGACGACTCCTTCTCCAGGGAGGTGTCGCTGCAGAGCCAGCAGCCGGAGTCCTGCGCCGGGCTGCAGGACCGGCAGTAGCCGCTCAGGCTGCGCGCCGACAGGCGCTGGTCCAGCAGCGGGGCCGCGCAGCCGCAGACCGACTCCCGCATGCTCAGGACGTCCACTGATGACGACATGTTGCTGTAGGCCCGGTTCTCCATGAAGTGCTGCTGGAACTGGGCCGGGTACTGGTCGAACTGGAAGTCCTGGACCGGCATGCATTCCACCAGGCTGTCGACCTGCAGCGCCTCCTCTGGTTTCAGCACGTCGGCCGCGTTTTCCTGCGTGAGCACCCAGCTCTGCCGGACGGTAAGGAGCTCGATTAATTTTTTTTAAATTCTGATTAATCGATTAATCGTCAGAATAATTTGTTATTCTAAAGATTAGTCTATTGTTCTAAAAATTGCTCACCAGAATAATAGCTTATTCTTTCAGTTATTCAGATAAATTGATTATTCTTACAAATATTCTGATGATTGATTGATTAATGTCAGAACAATCAATTATTCTTCTAATTATTCTGATGACTAATCAAATAGTCATAATAATAGGTTATTTTTTCTGTTATTCTGCTGATTAATTGGCACATTATGCAAATTCTTTATTTAATGGCTTAAGCTTACTTTGTAGAATACTAAAAATAAATTTAAAAACCCAAATAAATAATTTATTTCCCTTTTTAAATCAGAAAATAAACATTGCCTAAAATAAAATAACAGCATTCCTCTAATGAGTTCTTGCTCGTTTAAGGATGAAATGATTCTTCTGACATCAACATGAGAAAAGATCTGGACTGAACATTAATTCATGTTAAATCCAAAATCTATATTTTTATCGAGTTTTGGCTTAATTACGACTTTTATTATGTTGTCTTTTATCTTTACTTTAAATAGCAAGTATTTGAATAATCGATTAATCACAATTAATTGGATGAATTATCCACAGAGCAAAGATACTTAAAAGACAATTTTACCATTAAAAGGAACTGAAACAAGCAGCAGAAACAGTTTATCGGCGGTGGCTGCAGGCTCTGGATTACCTTAAAGTCTCCCTGGCAGTCTTTGTACAGACTGTGGAAATACGGAGCAGGAGTTGGGATGAAGGTGCTGCGCTTCCACCTGGGTCAAAATGTTCCGTTTTTAGAAAAATGTCTTCATAAACGATTTTAAAAAATAAAATTTTTAGTAATTCAGAATGAGGAGAGCCTTACTTTCTGACTGAACCGTAACAAACCAGCACCAGAACCACCAGAGCACATAACAGGCCGAATGTCAAAGGCAGGTTGAAAATGAATTCGTTTTCCTTAAAAGCTGCAGGAACACAAGAAAACCCATAAAAACCAACCGACAGGAACGTTTCTGCTCTACGCTCTTCATTTAATCTGACCATCAGCGGCCGGCTCCATCCTCCACTGAACCACAGAGGACCAGTCGCTCCACTGGCCCTGGTAGTGAGCCTGGTTTGGACTAGACCGCACTCGTGCAGCGTACTCGGTGCTGGGCTCAAAGTGCTCGTCTTCCACAGAGTGCGTTGTGCTGACGCTGCTGATGGTGATGTTACGAGCTTCTAGCTAAAAAACAAGCAGGCGAGAAGAATCCAGTCAACCTGCAGATCCAAAACATCAGATTTCATCGAAATGAGAGGATAAATAAAACCTGGAGGAAACGTTTGGACCCAACGGGGTTCTGTACATCAACACTGGACACAGATTATAGCTGTGAAACTTTATTGAGAATCAGATTATTATTAAATATGATTTTTTTTTCAGAAAAGCTTCATTAAAATATGTTGAATTGTTTAAAATTTAAGTTTTAAAGGAAATGTGTGTTGTAAAGAATAATCTTCATTGTTTGATTCTTGTGTTGCCATACTTACAATCTGAAACTACGACGAGTTTAACTTTTTCTTCGGGTTATTGGACGATATGGCTGAAAAACGTATCGCGATATTAGTGTTTCATATCAGTTTATCAATAATTATTTATTTGGTTTTTTTTGTTTTAATTATCAGAAATACTGATGAACTTTGCTGTATTATCCAGTTTTCCCTCCATTTTGCTTTTCATTTTTTAGCAGTTATGAGGCAAAGAGGGGAATTTGAAACTGCTCCAGTTACTCAGCAGGTCGTTGCTAGGTAAACGAAATTTGGGGGAACTTGAAACTGCTTCTTACCCAGCAGGTTGTTGCTAGGTAACCGAAGTTTGGGGGAACTTGAAACTGCTTATTACCCAGCAGGTTGTTGCTAGGCAACCAAAGAGCGAGTGAGTTAGTTGATGTACCAACCTGGAATGTTCTATGTATTAAATATTCTATCAGACATATTTTCTATTGATATTGATCATGTGTCTATCGTGATATATATTGTTATTGATGCATTGTCTCAGTAATTAATAACTAATAATGGCTGATTGATTTTAGGCCCAGATGATGATGATCTCACCCGGTGTTTGTCGGCCATCTTGTGGATCTGCAGCTGATACATCAGGTTTTCTCTCAGCCCCATTCTAGGGAAACGCTCATAGGTGCTTTTCCAGGTGAAGCGGAGTCGGGTGGCGTTGTGGCTGACCTCCAGGCAGCAGGGGGCGCTGGGCTTGACTGACGGAGGAAACAGAGCAGGTTTTACCTGAGCTGTCACAGGTAGAGCATCATGTTGACCTTTCATTTAGGACAGCCAATAATGATTATTCTACCAATTATTCTGACAATTAATTGATTAATTGGATAAAAAATTGGTACATTCTGGAGATTTTTCATTCAACCACTTAAGCCTTTTTATAAATGCATTAAAAGATGTGAATTAATAATTTAAGCCAAAAAAAATGATAGAAATGATGTTTAATAGGAGATTTTTTAAAATCATTTTTATCATTTGATGAGTTTCTGAGTCCCAAAAGTAAAAAACATCTGAGAAAATTTTTAGGTTAATCTCAGAAATTTTCTGGAAAAAAAACTAGAGAATCAAAAACTTTTGAAACATTGAAATTTCACATTTTTCTTTTGTGCAAATGATCAACTTTTCAGACTTAAAGGTTTCAATGGTTTTTTTTCTTGAAAGTTTCTGATTTTTTTTTCTGACAAATGTTCAACTTTTCAAACTCAAAAATATATATTTTTTTCTATAAGGTTTCTGAGATTAATTTTGAGTTTTCTTCTCATAAAATTCAGACTTTGGCCTCAGAATTTTAGTGGAAATAAACTCAGAAATTTCCAGGGTTTTTTTTCTTGCAGTTTCCACTTTTGGAGCTCAGGAATTTTCACCTTTTTTCTATAAGATATCTGAGATTAATCTAAAATTTTCAGAGATTTTTTGGGAGAAATTGACTCCCAAAAAATCTGTCTTCAGTGTCTCTAATACGGCGTCGTATATTTCTGTTCTGCTTTGTGTTGCTCTGCCATAAACGACCCCAGTAAAATTGAAAAGGTTTGGTGTTGTGATAAAATTAGTTAAAATAATCCCGACTTACTGTGTAACTCCGGCTCATAATCTTCCTTCAGTAACTCACAGATTTCATTGTGGTTTTTACACAAAGAAATCTCAAAATCTTCATCGTCTGAAAATTTTTCCGTTTCGTTGTAGGGAATCAGGGATCTGTCGAGCGAACAGAAGAAGCCAGCCGTCGTGTTTTTCAGCAGACATTTATACTCCGTCCTGTGGAGAAGAAACCAAAATGTAATGGCCGCCGTTGCTATGGGCAACAGGCTGTTTGGCGTTTAATCCGCCTTACTGGTCCAAATCGCTGATGACTTTCAGCCAGTAGGTTTGGTTGCTGGCTGCTGGTGAGGCGTTCAGGGAACAGTTGAGGGTGAACAGATAATTGTTCACACAATCCAGATTATAATCTGTGTCTGGAAAAGATGACAGATGTGAATTTTGATCAGTTTCAGTTAATCTCAGTGATCTTAATCCCATCCAGACATTTCTGGAACGTTCCTGAGTTTATTCTCCTTTCATTATCTTAAAATAAACAAGCAGTTTTCAGCAGGTAAAAATGCTGATTTATGATTTTTAATGTTTGAATTTAATCTGTCACAGAGATCCCATAATCTGCTGTCATTTGGAGGTTTAATTTGAAATTAAATAATTTGTTTGGACTTAAAATTGCATCAAAAGTTTTCTATAGAAGAAAAAAAGGAAAACAAAAAAGCATTTTACTTGAAAAATAAGTAAATATCTTACTAAATAATTAATAATATTTGAGAGGAAGAACAAAACAAACAATAAAAGCGAATATTGCCTGCAAAGTATCTTTTTTATTATTATTATATTTAGTAAACAAAACTCCACAACTAAAATAAGACAAGTTATAATTAGTTTCCTACTAATATATATTTACACACATTCACAGCTGGTTATTTTTTCATCAATACTAAGGAATTATTGACTCAAGATGAAAAGTTATCTATAATTTAATTTATTTTATTTGTATGAAGATATTTACACAAGAAACTGAACTAGAATTACTTGGTAAGATTTAGTGTTTTTCAGTGCAGAGAGCGAATATAAGGAAGACGATAAATATTAGCTTCAGCGCTAACATGACTTCTGCTGTGCGTATTAATGCGTGTTCAGGCATGAACCAGAACCAAACGAGGAGAAGCAGCATTCAGTTTCTATGCACCACAGATTTGGAACAAACTTCCAGAAAACTGTAAAA